GTTTAGAGGTGACATGAATTCCAAAGGTCTTCTCCAGTCAGGCTGCGACTGGAGATGACTTCATATTTTGGTGCCAGCTCCTGCTTATAGAGGAACATCTTGGGTATCTTCCGCCCTGGTACTCGTATCCACGTCCTTTGTCTGGGCTGCGAAAACTTTGCTGATATGTGACTCGGTCGAAGTGTCTTTTTTTTGCCCCCCCCCTGTATATTGTTCTCGATTTATGGTTTATAGGTAATGCTGTTTATAGGTAATGCTTTTCCATGAAGTTTGATGTCAAGCAATTGAAGAAATGTGTAGTAGCGGATGAAATCCTATCAAAATTGAAGAACGTTCCGTAGTCCCTTATAACTGCACTACACCACCTACATCGCCGTACCAGTAGTTTCTAGGGATCTGCGAAAAAGTAAGAAGCATTTCAACTGGATCATTATCACTCTCTAGGCCGACTGTCTAGATACCACTTCATGTATACCCTCATTATGCTTTGGTCTACATGCTCAACGGCAGTCGAACCTGACCGTCAACTTCTAATACCTTCACCTGTGACTGTGCCGATCAGTACCTTAATAGCCGTAGTGGTAATTTCTCAAGTAAGTTCTCCTAAAACGACTCGTTCCATAAGTGAGATCAAAGTCGCCACACGCTTATAGTTGGGGTCTTCAGATAGCATTCTGCACTCGAAGAAATATGAAAGGGAGCACAACAACACGGTTCCGAAGAGGTAAGTAGACAAGGCCATTTTGATGTAATGGGGCCTGGAAATGCCACGCAGGTGACCCGCTTATGATGACTCTTTGGCCGCTCTTGTCTCCGCTCGGGTGCACTGAACTAAACCCAGCGCGCAGGCGTAGCACAGAACCGCTACGCGTTAAGAGTTAGGAGATAACGTGCCGTCTAACACTTCAAGAAAATGACACGTTGCACACTTCAAAGATGGAGGATCCGTATGGCACCACTGTCAATGACGTCGCAGGACACGTCACTATCGGGCTATGTAGTCATGGTGCAAATGCCGCGCACGTGACCCTACTCATAAGGCCATGTTGCCATAAACGTGGGTCTTCCTAGTTGCAGTGCCCATGCACTCGATTTCGATGGTCTGGTCTTTCCGTGAAAGACTAGTGTTTATTATCATGTATCAGACAAAGGTAAGGAGGTAAAGGTAACCGAAGCAGCGGATAGTAACCTGCGGGCACTGCAGCCGTCAAAATTATGAAAGCAATTAAAAAATGAAGAGCTCTGTGTGGAATGAGTAACCGACATTGACAACGAGATAAGATAGAAGAAGTATATTTCTCCCGATAACCGTGCCTGTTCAGACTCCGACCAAAATTCTCTCAATATCCTCCAAACATTTCCGAAGTTCGCGAGATCACCACAGACCGATGGAGCGCTAGTGAGTAAAGGAATAGTAAAGTCCACGGGAGTGGGTAATTTAACAATATTCTAAAAAAATAATCCTAGATAAAATAAGGAAAACCACACATTAAGAACTCAGCTCCGCAACCCACGCTGCGGTCGAAATACTCTTCCAAATTCGGAAAAGTTGCTCACAGAGCCAGATACAGTCCTCCTCCCAAGACCAAGTACGACCCCCCCCCACCCTCGGATGAGGATTTTCAAACGATTTTTAACCCCACTCCCGTCGGATCGTCATCCGAAGCAGTTTGATAGGGGCGTAGTCGAACGGGCCCGCAGGCGCGTGCGCAAGAACTATTTGCTTTATCCCAGACTAATTTAGCCATTATTCAACAACTTTCTAGTTTAAACTGATTGCTACTTTCCCAGATTAGCAGCTCCTTATCTTCACAAGGTGGAAAATGACTAAATTAGCCTGGAAAAGCAAATAGTTCCTGGCACGCGCTGCGGCCCGTTGACGACCGCCCTAATCAACTGCCCGGATGACGAGGTTACCAAGATCAGAGAAGCGAGAGAGCTGTCGTGGTAAGTGTGCTGCTTACATAAACTTCAACCCAAGCCATCCAGAACCTGCTACACTACTGAGTAGCCTGAGAGAGAAAACCCTGACTTGTACATCGGCTAGCGATGTGAAAAGCCACTGCTTTCCTGAATGGAGGTGTGCCGCATAAAAATGGACGGCAATAGCTCTATTTTCCAGCTTCAACTTTTACGTCTAACAAAACATAACCGGTTTCAGTGTGTTGTCTACGCAAAGACGCTTTCAGTGGGAAAAGTGGGAAAGCGTTTGAATCCTGGAGGAACAGCATGTCAGATATTTCCACTTGTGAGATTGTCAATGTAGGTAAAACAGTTAGCTAGATCCCTCACTCGAGACGATAAGGTCAATCTTAACCTTCCAGCCACCAGGAGTTGACTGTGGTATGGCCGATGCTGGTCTAGAGGCTAAGATTCGCCACAGAACAATTTCATGGTATCCCGATCTGCAACTTCAGAAAAAATCGATTATTCGACGGAATTTCATGGTGAGCTATACGCGGGGTTCGTAAGTATGCAATAACACGATGGAAGGTCCCATGGGCTATTCACTTTCACTCGGCATTTCAGAACATAGACCGCTCGCAAATAACCAGACATCCACCACACGAGGGTCCTGGCACGCCAATGACACCAGCCACCTTTTTGGAGCGGAAAGCAAAGTACAAAGAGTAAGGCTCTGTTCAACAGGCGTTCCATTATACAGTTGATAACATCTTAGCCAGTCGGGGCGGTTTTAAGAACTGATCGGAGAGCGAACCCGCGGCGTTTCACTGGTTGTTTTCTTCCTTAATCGGTCACTAATCGTTCACCACTGGTAGAGGAGAGCAGCCAGGATGTGGGCTTGTTCCGCCCCTCCTGAGACCGCCTCGCTTGACTGCGACGTTGTCAACTATAGGTCCGCAGTTTAATGCTTTGTTGTGCATGTCTTATCTCATACCACAACAATAACGAGGGAAGAGGGTGGGAAAGGAGCTATAGGCCCTGTGGTTCACTCTTCAAACAAAGAAGGATAACCACTTCTTGCGTTAAGGAACTGGCTTCTCTCTCTAGCCCTTGGCGAAACCCTCGTCCCCCGGAAATAATGGTAGCAGCCGTGCAACAAAGAAAGAAGTCGAAAAAAATTGAGTTGAAAGGACGCTCTCATCGGACTGCGGGCCTGCATGGGACTAACGCCGCTTATCCCTGCCAGACTGCAACTGGTCAATGAAGACAGGTACTTTTTCTGCAGCCGGCATATCACTTGGGACAACGAGTGTCCTGTTTTCGTCGTCTATGGATACGATCCTTGTCGAGGTGAACTCGAGTACGATGAGAACACGATGGACGACGCAAGCCTTAAAGAAGCCGAAGAGATCGAGAAGAACATCGACAAGGTGGTTACTCTACTAAAATTTACTTCAAAAACCTACACAGAGTAGTTGCTCTAGACCCACCCAACCGCGACAGTAGAGCCTATGCTTCTCGGAAAATGGAACTTTGCAAGGTTCCCTGTGGAATCTAAACAGTTAGTGCCATGAGCACTCCTTGGGCCTGTGCCAGCTTCCAGTGGCTACTGGCTAGTAGCCCCTGTTTAGAGCTAAAGCTAGTAGCCCCCTCTGTCCTGAGAAGGTCCCAAAAAGGGCATTTCAGACGGCTTTTTCCTGCCTTTTTTCTTCCCTTTCCAGTTAGATTGTACCTTGTCATTAGAATTTGAGCTCTATTACCCACAAAATGTGATGTAACTCTGTAATCGAAAGAGTTGCTTAAAGATTTGTGCTGTTTGTGCAAAATCAATCCGCTTGGAAGGTATCTCTCCATGCGAAGATGACCGATCGACATGTATAACGCACAGACGATTCCCCTCTCATCTAGGGAAACCTAGCCAGTCAGAAAAACTTTAACAAAGTGTAGCCTGCTGAAAGTCAGATTTGAAAACGCAATTATGCGTCCAACAGTTTAATCCCAGAGCCCAAGAAATAAGCTCGAAGAGCACTTTTAGTGCATGAGCAAAAGCTCAAGAGAACAGTTTCCAGTTGCAAGGCAGTATCTACTTCCTCCACTCAGAAAGATAGTTTTAAGAAAATATGGCAGCTCAAGTAGAAGACTTCTTGACTACCATTTTCAACAATGACACCAGTTTTGAACGAAGCCACTCTATTCAGATTCTTGATAAGGCTCGAACACCAGACAAAGAAGAGGTGCAAAAGAGCGCGCCACCGTCGAAATGATGCTTCATGACCAAAAATCTCATATAACCAGTGATTAGAATCTTTCCTATTCAATTACTGCTTGTTGTTCCTTCGTTATTGTGAAACGTAATCGAATAAAGTATGTAGTTTAAATAATTAATCAATTTCCTCCAGGACGCTAAACCTACTACTAGGGCAAGAAGTGGTCGTGAAATTCTCAACGATGAGAGTCTCACCAAGGGGAGGGGTATTTCTCTCGATAAGGGATCTGCCTGTGTCTGAAAAGGTGTCCGGAATTCGGGAAGAGAAAATTCTAGCACCTTTGGATGTTCTGTGGAGTTTCTGTCGGGACAACTGGTCGAGAAGTCAATTGAAGTTAAGCGCTAAAGTTAAAGAAAAACCCAGCGCCAGACGGAGGGTTGATGCTAAACGAGAGTGCTAGGTGCTAAAAAAAGGGTTTTCCTCATAGCCATGTCTTGTTTGCAACCAGAGGCCATAGGATAAGGAATCCCCGCAGGGCTCGTTTTTGGCCTGGAAAAAAATGTCCCTACAGTTGATTGCTCCCATTCCCCTAGGGGGCGGAGTCCCAGAACAATTTCTTACAGTTGATCGGAGGCTCTACCTAAACGGACACTCGGCTGGGAATACAAAGCACCAGTTCGAAGATCGGCAGGCCCCAAGTCACGGTTTAGGGAGGAGGTCATTCAAAATCACCACGATTCCTGATAAGTGAATGCAGGGCGCATCCCAGAAAGATACCGATATATGGTGCATGGTTCTTCTTTTATCATTTGGCGCTGTCGGGCTTGAAGAGGACATTTTGCACTTTCACTATTTTCTTTTGTTCATGTAAGGGGAGTGTAAGGGGGTTTACAGGTCTCACTTTGGTAAGACCTGTAACCTCTGTAAAGCCATGAAATTATTAGTGTGAGCCATTATGGTCACAGGAATCTTACATGTCTTCACAATACGGCCCATACAAACTTAGCTGAGTACTACCTCATGCCCCCACCCAGGCGAACTGCGCCGTCATTGTTGATGAAGAAACTCACCGAAAGGCCAAGAAGGTGCGCAGCCTCCATAAGAAGAAGGAAGCATCCCCTTGTTTCGACTTCCATCTTCGCAAGAGTGGCTAAATGAAGTGGCCATTTCTCTTGTGTTTGACCAAAAACAACACGTCGAGTGGAGTAGTCACGAGCCAGGGACAGTATTCTGAAATTCAACTCTAACGTCCCTGTGAAAAAACCGCCTATTCATTATCTGGCGCTTGCAGTTGAACAGCGTTTGCAGAAGCAGGAGCACAGAGAACACTTTAGTGAAATAAAGTAGCGATCAAAAACACCATTAAGACTGACCTTCTCATTCCAGATACAGATGCGACTGCATTATGAATTCGCGTTATATTCAGCATGTTAGAAATATTAGCAACCCCTCTTCCTGGCTTCCCAACACAATGGGCGACAGTGCCGTCTAATAGCAGTTCAGCAGTGGGTAGCTAAACAGTCCCGTTTAAAGAAAAGATAAATAAGAAGACGAACAAAAAACTCACCTGCTTTGTGCCAAACTTGTTTTTTAATCGCATCATTTGAATACCGTTCAGCTTACCATCGTCGTTTCGAATTTTCAGTAAAAACAAGGAAAGACCACGTGATCCCTGCAAATAGGGATATTACATGTCAAGTGTTCTTGCTTACTTCAAAATTTGATGATCTGAACCAAAAAATAGAAAACTAACAAACCCACTTTCTCGGCATTGCCATGTTTGTCGACAATTCGAGCCAGTGTTAAGGTAATATCAGCATCTACAGCGGAACTGAACCATTTATACCCATATAGGCGGTACTGAAAATGAAAGTCCTTTCGGATCTAAGTGGGAAATTTGGAAGTGGGAAGTGGGTCGTATGCAACATATCCTCTCAGGATGAACGCTAAGATGCGCCTTGAAGAATCCGGGCGATCAATTTCTGTTGCAGGGATGGATCGTATTGACCTTGAGAGACCTTTATTCACGACTTCTCCCGTTTCAAGCGCATTGTTGATCCCCCTCTAAGGACAGCAAAATTTCCTGGAATTTTACGTAGGAGACAAATACGTTAGAAGTCATAGCAGCAGGTTGACCTAGTCCCTGCTTTTGAGGGTATCTGGGAGACACTGCCATCTCAAACATCCTGATAGGTTCTGTTCTGAAAACCGTTTCGCTAGTACTAAAGACAGGAAAGAGTTTGAAAGAGTTCCGGAACTTTGCCTACCGTGTCTCCCTGGACATGCTCAGCATACGTATCACATCCACCACCCACATCGCTTCCACCTCTTTTTTCTGTCATCCACTGTCCTGACGTCCACGCCTTCTTTCCATCGGTGGATCGCAGACGACTTATTGACTCTGTCGCCAAACTATGCTTCCCTTCGAGCCCTAGTGCCTGAAAAAGGTAAGAATATGGGAGTGATAGCTCACTCTGAGCTTGTCATAGACAAATTGGTCAAAAGGATAGACGCCTCAAACGATCTACTGTGAAAGACTGTTCTCAATGTTTTATCTGAGTGTGTAACAACAATGTGAAACTCCAAAAGTTTATTCCAAAAGACTCAAAAGACAGTGAAAGTCTCAAAAGTTTGTTATAATATATCTTAACTTGCGATATTTCGGTGCGTAGCACCT